CCGAGTCAGGGGGAGGAGGGGCAGGCAGGGGAGGACAGCCTGAAGGCGGCAGGCACCCAGAGCCATGAGCTGAGCAGCAGATCAACAGATGGACCAAGCAGCTGACAGACCGACGGACCCACAGGCCAACCAAGCATCCCAGGGACAGACAGAAAGACAGGAGAGCAGGTCCCAGATCCAGGGGAACAGACAGGCTGCCCCGCAGCCAATGGACTGACCAATAGGCGTTTCAGGCCTCTAAGGACAGACAGGCTGACCAAATCAGGATCCCAGGGTCAGGCTGACTGCCACAATAACTGAGAATAGATGAACAGACAGGCTGATCTGGCATCCTGGACAGACATGGCAGACATGGGCTGGCTGGACAGACAGAGCAGTGACTCCAGATCTAGGGTTGGACACACCTGGCCAGTCTGAAGAGACACTGAGGTCCAAGCCGGTAACCAGACCCCAAACCAGAGACGCAAGTAGACCAACATGAACAGGAGGGAGAGCCCGATCAACCGATGGCGTGGCCCAGAAGCCTCCTGGCTTCTCAAGTTGGGTGTATGTGTGTGTGTGTGGGGGGGGGGATTCCATCATCCTTCTTCCCTCCTCCTGCCCATTAGAGAGGACCTGCCAGCTTGGAGTTCCTACCCACATCTAGACCTGTAGCATGCTCAGTGTTCAGAAGACCAATTTTTAGATCCTTTAGATCCAGATTTTTTGGTGGAAGGATTTCGCAACCCAGCACTGGCTTCTCTCCTCCTCTCGGCTCTGCTTCTCCGTTGCCCACAACAGTGCACACCCATCCTGGCTTCCTGTTTATTCTCAGACACATTTCTCTAAGCTTTAGACGGAGAGTCGGGAAACTAGTTCCAAAGGCCTGAGTGTCTCTGTTTCCTCATCTGTAAGTTGAGGATGCCAGATACTGTTAGGGTGGCCTGACTGCAGGGCCTGGCTTCTGCTGGCCTTCTGTCAACTTACAACTGGGTGCTCCACAGAAGAACGGGGGAGGGACGGGGAACGACTAACCTGGCTGCAGGAGCATCCGGGAGGACTTCCTGGAGGAGGAAGGCCAGGAATGCATCAAGAGAGGATGAGAGGAGCCTACAGGTAGCTTGGCTCCACGCAAACCCAGGCAGGTAATCCCCAGGGCTTTCTAGACCAGGAGAGACATACACGTGCACATAGCGTACACTCACACATAGTCATTCTGCAGAACTGCCGGCCAATGCAGTGATGCCAGAAACACAATGATGACAGCAAGGTCCCTGCCCTCAGGGAGCCACCTGCAAGCGGTAGAACAGAAAACAGATGTGCTGATTCATAATAAGAGTGCTTCCTAGTCCAAGCGGGAAGAAGAAGAAAGAGCCGGGTCACGGGTAGACTAGAGAAGCATTTGTTGAAGGTGAAGGTGCCGGCCTGGGATGGTGACTTGGGAGGCCTCCGTTAGGAGGTGACCCTCAACTGACCGGGGAACCTAGCTGGGGACAAAGCTGGAAAATGAGTGTTCCGGGCAGAGCAAGCTGCAAGAGGAGATGTCAGGGACAAGCTCGGCCAAGGAGGAGCCAGTGGGACAGGGATGAGGGAGGAGTGAGAGAAACGGGCAAGGCCAGATGGCTTCAAGCCCTGAAGCCAAGGAGAGAAGTTGGGTTTTCATCCAAGTGCTGAGGAGGACCTTGGAAGGTTTGAAGGACCAGAATGACATGATCGGACAGCTTTTGATTCTTTTTTAAACAATATCCCACTGGTTGCCATGTGTGAAACTGGATGACGGGGCGGGAGGAAGAGACACAGGAGTCCAAGCAGGAAGCCCCAGAGGCTGTTGTTCAGGCAGGAGATGGCCATGGCCTTGACCAGTGTAATGACCATGTAGAGTCTGGAAAGCTGGGCATGAGTTCAGGAGAAAGCAGGTACCAGGGAGAAGCTTCAAACAGTCCGTGGATCAATTCCATTTTCTCTTCATCCCATTTTCCCACCAAGTTGTTGAAGCCCCCTTGTGCATCCCCTTCTCTGAGTCTGGATAGGCTGCTTCTCCTGAGAGGGGGCCTTCTCTGTAGCTGGTGCTGGTCTCATGCAGGGTGGGGTCCAGCTTCTTACAGCTGCCTTTCCAGGAGAGTAAAATAGGGTGGGCTTCCTGGGGGAGGCTTCCAGGGAGGACACTTGGTCATCAGAAGGAGCCAGAGGCCTTCCCTCAGGGTGCGCGCCCCTCTCCCTCTATGTGCATCTCCCTCTACAGTCTGTAGACTGTTTACCTCCTCCTTCGGTGTTTGCAGTAAGGAGGGAACTGAGGCAGAGAGACTGCCCAAGGCCGTACAGCTGCCAGGGAGGCAAATCCACAAGCCCCCAATGTTGCCCTCCTGCCTATCTGCCCCCCACCCCAGTGGCAGTGACTGCAGGCAGGATGGTGAGTGCTGGCCACGTTTTCGAGAAGGGGAAACTGAGGCCGGGCCCAGTTGAATGGCTCTTCCTGGGCCACCCTGTTTGAAGAGCTCTGTGGGCCCCACCTCGATCGAGCACATTAAAACGCAGCAACATCAAACATCAAATGTGAATTCTAGCTAATCAGATAAAAGCCAAATCGCAGTTGACTGGCTGACATCATGTTCTGTTTTGCAGACATTTAGTTAAACATTTATTAATTTTGAATCTGCAGTTTTTCAATGTGTTTTAGAGCCAATTCCCTCCCCCTCCCCACACCCCTTCCCCTGCAAAGGCTCAAACCGTTTCTGAGGCCCATGAAAATTTCCAAGGTCCCTGGCAGCAAGCCCTTAACCCTGACCGGGCAGGACTACCATGGGTGCACCCTGCTGCCAGAAAAGGCTGAGAGCGGGCTGACCCCAGGCCTTTCACCCTCAGACAGCCGCAGGGGCTGTCCACATCCCCCGCCCCCACCCAATGTTCTTGAGGCTTGATGGGTACCCCGTCAGGGCTGGGGCCCTGCGAACCCTCTGTCTTTGGAGCTGGTGGAGGAGGGGGCAGAGAGGGTAGGGAGGTGGGCGGCCCTGTCAGGTGGTGATGGATGCTGGCTGGCGGGCCTCTCTCATGCTGACCCAGGCCTGAAAACAGATGGTCCTCCAGCCGGAGAGAAACTTCAGGGTGTCGCCCTCCCCACAACTCCCCAGGCCCTTTCGCGCTGGACCAGCTGGTCTCGCCTTCCTGTTTGAAGTAGGAGCCACGGCGGATGGAGCGGGCAGGGGAGGTTTGGGAAAGTGGTCTCTGCTCCAAGCACCTCAGAAGCTCTAGGCAGAGCAGCTGTGTCTCTCCCCTAGAGCCCCACCCACCCACCCACCTGCCTCCCCACCTCAGCCCTGCTCTCTGCCCCTCCTCCATCCCTCGCCTGACACATCAGCCTGCTTGTCATTGCAAACCTGGCCCAGACCCCAGCCTCTCCTGGCTCACTTCCAAGCCAGCCTCCAGCGCCAGCTTTCCAAGCCACCAAGCTGATCACATCACCCCTGATTCTGGGATGAAACTCCAATTTGGAATAAAATCGAAACCCCTTAGGCTAGAATTGGATGCGCTTCCCAAGTCCAGCTCCTATGCCACTGCCCACTGGTCCTCCCCGCTCCCTCCACCAGGCCCATCAAACCACACCGCCCTGGCTCCCAAAGGGTGCTGCTCACTTAGCTGCCGCTTCCACCCAGGACGCCCTCCCACTTCCTGTTTGCCTTCAAATGGCTACCGGGAGCAAGTGCTTCCTCTTCCAGGAAGCCTTCCTCAACACCCCGGCTCCCTCAGGTAGAAGTCCGCAGCTGTGGGTGGCATCTGTAAACCTTTCCCCAATTCAGCACAAAATGTTAAAATAATAAGTAAAGGAGAAACCCCCAGTGCACACAATTCTGTTCTGACACACCCAAGGTCGGTCAGTTCCAGGGCACAGCTGTTTTGTAGGGTCTTCTAACAGTGTTGGTGGCGTAGTGGGTCAGCAGTTCAAACCCACCAGCACCGCGGAAGGAGCAAGACGAGGCTTTCCCATTCTCCAAGGATTTACAGCCTTGGAGACCCAGAGGGCAGGTCTGCTCTGCTCGATCAGGTCACTTGCTATGTGTTGGAATCACTGACGGCAGTGGGCTGGGTTTCTCTCTGGTTTATGAAGGGGGGTAAGGGGTATCATCCGATAGGAGTAAGTTTAGCTTTTAGTTTTGTTTTGAACATTGTACGCTCCAGACATGATAAGAGGTTAAAAAACAAGCAAACAAACCAAACTGCTCCTGTGGCTTTCTGAGACTCTAACTTCTTACCTGAGTAGAAAGCCCGGTCTTTTTTCCGCGGGCAGACTGGTGGCTGTGAACTGCTGACCTTGCAGTTAGAAGCTGGATGGTAACCACGAGGCTCCCAGGGCTCCTCCCTGTCAGGGGTTAAAAACCTCACTACGATCCAGCACTTAGTCAATTCCGACTCATAGCGACTCTATAGGGCAGTGGTTCTCAACATTCCCAATGCCACCACTCTAACACAGTTCCTCATGTTGTGGTGACCCCCCCAACCATAAAATTATTTTTGTTGCTACCTCCTCACTGTAATTTTGCTACTGTTAGGAATCAGGCGACCCCTGTGAAAGACTCCTTCGACCCCCAGAGGGGTCACGACCCACAGGTTGAGAACCACTGCTATAGGACAAGGTAGGGCAGCCCCTGTGAGTTTCTGAGACTATAACTCTTAACAGGAGTAGAAAAAAAAACCTCATCCTTCTCCGGCTGGTGGTTTTGAACTGCTGACTTTCTGGTTAGCAAGCCAGCGGGCATAACCACAACACTACCAGGTCTCCTTATAAGGGATTAGGAATCCTACAACCAAGTCCCACCCACCCATCCCCATCGGATGATCATGTTATGTGAAGCACTTCCTGTGTGCCCCTTCTTTAAGGAGCCCAGTCAGTGCCCCCAGCAGCAGGCCCGGGAGATGGTCTTTCCAGGACTCTCAGGCTGCAGTATAGGAAGGCGGCCTGGGCGGCCGGAGACTGGCTCAGGCCATGCCGGCGGGCGGGGAGCCTGAGCGCCTTGTGCCTCCTGCAGGTACCTGCACGCGCTGTACCTGGGGCTGCAGAGCCGCTGGCGCGGGGAGCGGCTGCAGCGCCACTTCTACTGGCGGATGCTCTTCGAGAGCGCCGACGTGAGCATGCTGCGGCTGTTGGAGACTTTCCTGCGCAGCGCGCCGCAGCTCGTGCTGCAGCTCAGCCTCCTCATACATCGCAGCGACAGCGACAGCGACGGCCACAGCAACCTGTTCCAGCAGCTGCCTGGTGAGCCCCGCCCCCTGCCTCCGGGCCCCCGGGTCGCCTCCAATGGCCCACTCACCCTCACTGTTTGGCCCCTGGCCCTTCCACCCTTGGCTACCTGGGAGGGAGCTTTCCCACTCGCTGGGCAGACCAGACCCCAATTCTGCCACGTGCAGAGAGGCCCTCCTGAGAACCCCTGGCCACTGTCCAGTGTCCTGAGGACCCCTCTGGTCCTCATTGCCATGCAGTGCCCAGCCCACACCTCACCCCCTCCACAACTCTGACAGACCAGGCCGCCTCCCTTAGTGTCAGGGAAAATACATCCCTACCTCCCTGGGGTGACCCTTGTCCCTCTCCCCCTCACCACTCAGTCAGTGTTCAGGAAGGTCTGCTGGGTCCCAGGCCAAGACATTGGGCAACACTGGGACGATTCCCCACCCCGACCCCCGTATCTTCTCCCCTTGTCAACTCAGTTCTTAGAGAGTCCCCCTCTTATCCAGGGCGCCCATAGTTTCTAAAAGTTCTCAATCATCACCCTCTTCACCTCCTCTCCCACCCCCACAGCCCTGCACCTTAAGTTTCCCTGCCCTCCCACCCAGAACCCTGAACCCTGTCAGCCTCAAAGAAGAGTCCTAGCCCTGACCCTTACGGAGTTCCACACCGTCCACCAGCTGTCCTCACACGTCCCCCAAGCCGGTCCACCCTCCCCTCTTCCGTTGTTCTTGCAGACCGCCTGACCCAGGTCCCCGCCACATCCCTTCTAGCCCAGTCACCTCTCTCCCAGCCTCAGAACTCAGCTCCGACCTGGACCTCTCCCCCCTCCCCAGGTCCCAACCTAGACCCCCCCACCCAATAACCCAGCCTGCCCTGCCCCCGCCCTGTCTCTGCAGTCTTCTCCACCTTCGCCTCACTCCTGTCCCTGGCCTGGACGCTGGCCTCCTACCAGAAGGTGCTGCGGGACTCGAGGGACGACAAGAGGCCCCTGTCCTACAAGGGTGCCGTGGTCCAGGTGTTGTGGCACCTGTTCACCATCGCGGCGCGCAGCCTGGCCTTCGCCCTCTTCGCCAGCGTCTACAAGCTCTACTTTGGCATCTTCATCGTGGCCCACTGGTGCATCATGACCTTCTGGGTCATCCAGGGGGAGACCGACTTCTGCATGTCCAAGTGGGAGGAGATCATCTACAACATGGTGGTGGGCATCATCTACATCTTCTGCTGGTTCAACGTCAAGGAGGGCCGCAGCCGCCGCCGCATGACCCTCTACTACTGCATCGTCCTGCTGGAGAACGCCGCGCTCACCGGCTGCTGGTATTTCAGCCGCAACTTCGCCACCGACTTCCGCTCGCTCATCTTGGTCTGCGTGGTGGCCTCCAGCTTCGCGCTGGGCATCTTCTTCATGTGTGTCTACTACTGCCTCCTGCACCCCAACGGGCCCATGCTGGGCCCCCAGGCCCCTGGCTGCATCTTCCCCGAGACTCCCGGCCCCTGTGGCCCACCAACAGATGCTGTCACCAGCCCGCCCAGGTCCCTGCCCAGGACTACAGGCGCGGAGCGGGATGGGGTCTCACTCGGGGGTGAACGGGCTGGGACCCCGACGCCGCCTGTTTTCCAGGTCCGCCCTGGCTTGCCCGCCACGCCAGTGGCCCGCACTTTGCGGACAGAGGGGCCTGTGATTCGGATTGACTTGCCCCGGAAGAAGTACCCGGCGTGGGATGCTCATTTTATTGACCGCAGGCTCCGGAAGACCATTCTGGCGCTGGAGTACTCCTCGCCCGCCACGCCCCGGTTGCAGTACCGGAGCATGGGGACCTCCCAGGAGCTGCTGGAGTACGAGACCACCGTGTAGACCAGTCCTCCGCCCAACAGGGGACGAGCTGGGCTTATCCGCAGTGTTGCGCCCGAAGGCCAGGCTGCCAGGCTGAGGGCGAGTGGATCTGCTGGGCCTCACCAGGGGGGTCCTGCAGAGGAGGGCAGGAAGCCTGCTTTGTAGAGGCTCTAGCCCTGGGCTCCATTTTCAGCCCCTAAATTTCCTGAACTAGAGCCCAGGGAATCAAGTGGTGCTACACTCCTCAAGAGCTGCCCACCCTCATGGTGGCCTCCACGCCACATGTCTGGTCCTAGGGACCTCACCCCACCCCCCACCTCCTCGGCCTGACATCACCCACCAGTCAGCCTGGGTGGACTCACTAAAGCAAGGGCACTGTATGGAGTCCATCACCCAGCTCCTGGGCTCCTCGAGGAGTGTGGGTGCTGAAGATAGGCTGCTGCCTCTGGGGTTGGAGGAGACCTCTGGGGAGGAAGGAGACGGCTGTGTAAGGTGTGGGGTGAGGTGTGGAGCGTCTGTGGATAGGGTTGGCGGAGTTTCTGTGGGTGCTGATGTCTGGAGCCTGGGATAGAGGAGAACTGAAGGAGGGCGTTGGGGTGGGTGGGGAGTCGAGGGGGACTAACAGTGCTGATGGGGATGGACAAGAGAGAGAAGCCCGGGCCATCTGAGGGGTGCGGGCTGGCAGAAGCATGCAGAGGTGGGCAATGTGGAGGAGGGAGCTCATGAATTGGAGCCTCCAGGATGTTTTACAAGTGAGCTCCCGGGAGAGACCACTGATTCTGGGCTCTGTTGTGGATGAGACTCTGGACACCTCCAGTGAAATTCCTCCAGGAGCCATTCTGTGTTCAAGTTGCACATCATCTGGAACAGGTGTCCCAGGTGAAGGCTTTGAACACTCAACAGGTGGAATCTACTAGAAAGATCCTTCCTCGGGGCTCCCTTCTAGAGGAAGACGGAGCACACTGAGCAGAGGAGGCGTGCTAGAACCCATTGATGGTAACAGTGTCCCGGGGGTCTCTGTTGGATCTGGATTCTGTCCTGAAGGGCAGGGACACTGGCACCCTTGCTGCTCTGCTTATGGGGATTCCAGCTCTGGCAACAATAGCCGGCTATAGAATCAGAGTATTCTGGGGAAGGGATACTCCAATTCTAGACTTCTGGGGCTCCATAGCTATCTTCCCAAGAGAAATTTTTGTCCCCAAAACTCCTGGAGCAATTCAGCTACCAACTGTTTCCCAGCTGGAAAGAGCCAGCACAAGAGACGTGACTTGAGTCCTGGCTCCGGGCCACCCTGCAGATGTTGCTCCCTGGGGCGGCATGTGGGAAACGAACTTGTTTTGCCTCAAATCCAACAACTGATCCGTTCCCATGGCCCAGACCTCCTGGGGTGCCCATGGGACACTCAGCCAGGGGTCCTCCCCGAGTCTGGGATGGGCAGTCCCTAAGGGGTGAGGGCTGTGAAGGCATAGAAGTCAGCCGTGTCTATGGGTAAGGGGCCAGAACCTGTAGACAGAACTTAGAACACACCCCCAGGGGGAGTGAGGTGAGCAATGATGAAAACCTTAGACTATGCAAATTGGAGGGGCACCGATCCCTCTCTTGTTCAGCCTCCCTCAGGCTAAAGATGGGAAACTGAGGCCCAGAGTGGTAGCTGCCCTTCCCAGTCCCACACTCCTGGCTGTGCTGTCCAGTGGTGAGTGAGGGGTGAGGGGGAGATTTCAAGGACGTGGGAGAGAGCCGTACTCAGGGTAAGAGGCAACCTCTAAGGCATTGCACCGGGAGAGAGAGCCACGCCGGGCCCTGCACGGACACCCATGCAGACGGAGGTGGTGTGTGCACAGAGAAGGCTTTGCTCCTGTGTCCCTCCGCTCCCTGGCTCCCCTCAGCCACATCAAGAAGGATGGGTGGTGGAGGAAGCCCCAAGGCTGACCCCGAACCTCTTCCGTGGGCTCACACACCCTCCTGAGCTTCTGTGCCATCTTCCCAAATGTGTCTTCAGGGACCGAATTCCATGACCCCCATGACACACGTCTGGGCCCCCAGGTCGAGCTGACTTTGTGTCAGGAATTTTCACCCCGTGTTGTTTCATGTCACCTCTCCCCCACCTGAGATAGATGTTCTCAACTCATCTTACAAAGGAGGGAAAGTGGGGCTCAGAGAGGTGACACAAGGGTCACCTTTAGCCAGTTGTTTTGCTCTCCAGTGTCCTCGGATGGCCTACCTGGTTACCCAGTGTCCAGCCTTCTAGGGGAAAAGGGTCAAAGATCCTACCTCGAAGTATAGGTCCCTACACAGCTCCAGGAGACCCCAGGGTGTAGGAATGGCTGGCCGTGGTAGGCCTGGCTTGAGGCTTACAGGGAAGCCCTGCAGCATTGTGGAACTTCTTCCACTCCCCCACCACATCTCAAGCTCCCACATCCTTCCCTCTGCATCTTACCAATGGGGACATTTGAGCCCTAGAAAGGGTCATAGTTCTAGAGAGGGATGTGGGTACCTACACCGTCAGGAAAGAACCAAGCCCTTTGAGGACACCCCACCCTGGAGCACGAGGCCCCGTCCTGCTGGGGCCTGAGGTCTGCCCGCCCCGGGCCTGACCCCCACACCTCATCCTGTTCCTATGGACCGCCTTGCTCCCTGGGAGAGAGGAATCGGGGTGCGGGAAGAGCACCATTCAGTCAAGCGGTCCTCTCCTTTCCCTTTCTGCGACATGATCTACCTCAGCTGGCCTCTCCCTGCCCCACCAGAACCCAACCCTGCTTCCCAGCCTCCTGCCTCCCACGCCCCATGCCCACCCCAGCCTGGAGGCTCAGTCCTTCCCAGGACCCCTCCAGGGGCCTGATGTTGAGAGAGGGTCCCAACGCCCACCACCCAGAGGAGCTGGGATCCCTGGGGCCAACTCCCGCCCCCCCTGCACATCCATTAGTAGGATTAGAGAACGTTTTATTGTGCTTTAGGTGAAAGTATCCACAGCAGATTCGATTTTTACTCAATATCCCCTCTCCAGAAATGTTCCTGACACGGCTTGCAATTGCAACGAGCCGCGCCCCCCCCACCACCCCTACCCCCACCCCGCCCACTCCCATTTCCATTCTTGGGTTTCTGGCCCTTCCCTACTGCCTCAGCTGGGCCCTCGGGCAAATGCAGCCCCTTGGGCCTCAGAGCGCTGGCTGTTGCAAGGTTCACATTCCTTGTGCGTGTTATGGTTTGAGCGTGGTTCAGGCCGCTTGTCTCTGGTTAAGAGGTGACCTCTGGAAGGAGCTTCAGGTCCCCACTCAAAAGGTGACTTAAGGCAATAGTCTTGCGGGTCCCTCCACGCTCTCTCAGGCCAGCAAGTCTGGTCTTTTGAAATGAACCTGCTCACCCCTTGTACAAGAGAAAGGGGCCCAGAAGCCAGGAGGGACTTGCCCAGGATGACACAGCAAGACAGAGCTGGGAACTTGCTGGGGGTGAGAGGTAGTGGGGTCTATCCCAAGGTTACCAGAAGAGAACTGGACACTCCAGGCACCAAATAAACCAGGTCCCGCCCTGCCCTCAGGATCTTCACCCCCAGAAGACCCCACGCCCACCGTCCCTACTCCCAGGGCATACTCCTATCTGCCAGCAATTCTCTTAAGCTCCCACCTCTCCAATATCCCATGAACTCCCCCCTCAGAGGCTGCTCACTGCTCCCCGAAACCTCTCCAGGCACCGCTCACTCCCATGCACCGATGTACCACGTGCCTTGTAACTGTGGCCCCAGCTGAATGGCACAGCCCTCCACACCCCACCCCAGCACGGAGGCCTCCTTGGTCCCTTCTGCTCATCTGCCTCACCCTGTCTCTCCAGAATCTGCCTTACCCGGCCAGCTCCCTGCTGCCCACCAAGTCACTGTCACCGAGAGCTGGGACTCAGAAGACAGGGCGAGGGTGAGGCCTGGGAACCCTTCAGGCCTTAGAGCGATGGCCCAAGAGGTTGCACGTGTCCAGGAAAGGCCTTGCCTGGGAGCCCCAATTCCCTCTACAGGTCTCAAGACCCACAGCTCATTTTCTTGGGGGCTAACCCAGGCCTGGGGTTGACAAAAGGCTCAGGCAGTGGAGAGAAGGTGCTCTCGGGCAGGGAATCCAGGACTGCAAATTCAACGCCTTCAATTAATGAACACAATGGAATGGAGGTGCTAGACATTAGGGAATAGTGCAGATTCTGGCCAACAGAATACATGACCCAGCCTAAAGGCATGAAAATTCAAATATTGGGAAAACTGTACTGGCCAAGCTAAACACTGGTGTTTAGCCCACAAACCACAGTTAGAGGTTCAAAATGTCTTGGGGAGCCCTACAGGGTCTGAAAACCCCTCTGGGGCAAGGACAGAGCCCATCTGTCAGGGAGAGAGGCCCCATCCCTCTGAGACTTTTCTAGTCTAACCCTGAACCCACACTTCCTGACCCCCTGAGGCCTGGCCCCACTGCTCTCTCAGTGAGAAGAGGAGGGAGAGCTAGGTGTCCCCAGAGCCCCTAGTTTGGGGACCTTCATCTGATAAAGGGCTAGAGGCCCCGGGGCAGTTGAGGGTTTGATGTCTGCATTGGGTAGGGAGAGAGTCCAACTACAAGATGAGAATTGGGACAGGACCTAACTGCCCCCATCCTCTGTTGCCCCTGCCCTTTCTGGGACTTGGCTTCCTCCCAGAATACGCTGTAAGTGAGGGCGCTTAGTGGAGGAGCTATCTACTTGTGTCACTGAAGTGCTCTGTGGGGCTGATGAGACTGAACCCCCCAGGATTATGGGGACAGTGACTGTACCAAGACATTCTGGTTGGGAAGAGGACAAGACATTCCTGGCTTCTGGGACCCTGCAGGGAGAGGACAGGAGCGGGAAGAAGCTGTCGCAGGGGATTGTGGGAGGGAGTTAGGGCAGGCTGGGGCTGGTCCAGGGATGGTCTGCTGCCTGGAGGGTGAAAAGCCCTAAGGACAAGGAGGGTGGTCCCCTTGTGGCTAGGCTGGGGCTTACAGGTCTCCTTCCTCTCCCCTTCCCACTGGGAAGGGGCTGCTCTCTCCTTAGCCACCCTAGCCTTTACTCTATGCACAATCGCTGGAAGCGCAC